TATTTAGAAAAATGTTCAGAGCACCAACTCTGTAAAAGGAAAATCCCAAACCAAACTAAAATAATAATAAAATTACAATAATACAATAAGTGTGGCATATTCTACTCAGTAGAGTACTATGAATCCTAGTGGAGGGCTCCTAGTTACATAATGTTAAAAAAGAAAGCAAGTCCCTGTGGAAGTGATACACTTTTATAAGAAAAATAAACAAGGAAAACTAAAAAATATATTTTTATTTATAGGCATGTATGTAATAAAACCAGAAGAAAAATATAGGAGAACAATAACTCAAATTTGAGGAAGTGGTTACCTCTAGTGTGAAAAGTAGGGGACAGGGTTGGGAAGGAGTATGTAGGTAGATATAAATTATAGCACTGCTTTGGTTCTTGTGTTGGTAAATGGGTTCATGGGTATTTCATTTTCATAATCTATTAAATATGCTATTTATAAGAAATGAAATATAAACATAAGGCCTGACTGAAAATTGAAAGATGAAACATTCAAAAACCTAAAACCAAAATAGTACCTGAAACACAAAGCCATAAATGGGAAGTGAAATAATGTTAAAGTGATTGTTTAGAGGATCAGAGTGTGTTATACACAGTAGGAATGAGTGATGTTTCATGAAACTTATTTCGATTTAGTGCATGAATATGTATGTTATGTCTTATTTTAAGTTGTGGTTAAAAAAAAGCTTGCCAGTCAGTACCTTAGAGAACCTCTTGCCAAAATATACCAACAGATATGCAGGAAAAAGTTCATTGCTACATTGTCATAAAACAAATGTACACATACATGAACTCACAGGAGAGTGGAGAAATAATCATATGTTGGAATACTACACAGCACTGAAAAATAAACAATGCTCCATTCATCAAAATGGCTGACTCTCATTAAAAATAGAATGTTGAGGAGGGAAAAGCAAGTCATAGAAGTATACAAGTGGTATTTTTTTAATATAAAGTTTGGTAAGCAAAAGTAAACAATTGCCTAGGGATTCATACAAAAATGATAAAGTAATAAAGAAAAGCAAGGGAAGGCTTAACACAAAGCCCAGGATAGTAGTTAATTTGGGGATTGGGGTCAGGGATGGAGGGTGCTTTTGGGAGGGTCCCACAGGGGGGCTTCAAAGGTACTAGAACGTACACAAGGATTTGTTTCATTACTGTTGCTGTTTAAATCAATAAGTATATGTTATAAATCCTCTTTCATAGGTATGAGAAATTTATAAAACAAAAGGAAAATGCCGATCAGTTGTGTTCTCTGGTCCCTGGTTACTCCTTCAGTTTGCAGTCATCATCCTGCTCCAAATTCCCTACCTAGTCTCAGAGCTGGAATCCCCAGCCCCAGTCTCTTTCTCTCCTGTCTGTCTTCCACACTGCTAAATTGCATAGCACACCATACTCCTGCCTGTCAAGCACCTCCTGTGGCTCCCATTGCCCCCTCCATAAGCCCAAACTCCTCAGCTCCACACATTGTCCCCACTGAAGCAGCCTTCCCCCCGACCTTCCCTCAAGGCCCATTCTAACCTACAGACCTCCACTTTGCCATGCAGGCTCACAGAATGGCCCCTTCTACCCCTTGTCAGAACTTTGTAATTATATCAAAGGTCACAAAGCCCCCAGGAAGGACAGGCCCCATCTCAGAGGGGAGGATTCTGGGAGCTCCTTGGGCTGGAGCTGGGCTCAGGTGCTCATGGCTGAATTGGAGGAGACTGGCAGCTCTGTTCGTCACGGTGAGACTCATCCATGTGTCTCACAGGGTCCCATGGGATGAGGGGTCTTGGACCCCACCCAGATTTGTTGGGCCCAGCCAGCCACAAGCTTGTCTGCTGTCTATAGCTTTTGGGAATGGGAGCGGAAAGGGTGGGCACTGGGAATAGGGCAGAGACTGGTGGGAGATGATGTTTTTCAGTCTGTTCATATCCATTCCCCACTAACCACATCTGCCTGTAAAGAAATTTGCACTGGGCAGGTGTGAACAGTTCCTGTTCTCTGGGTTGTAGGGTGTGGTGACTTTAGGTCCCTCAGGGTATAGAGCAAAGAGCATGGGCTTAAGATGCAGTCTGGCTCAGTTGTTGATGGGCAGGGTCACTCATGTCCCTCTGGGTCCCTGCTTCCTTGCAAGGTTGATGTAATGAGCATCTGCTTGCCCAGGGAAAGATAATGGAGACAATAACATCTACCTGGTCTACTTCACAGGTAGCCATCAGCTCCAGTGAGATGGTGGAGGTAAAAGATTTTGAAGAGTGCAAGCTTCGGTCACTCTGCATGGGCTATGTACTGGTGGGCGGAGCAGGGTGCTGGAGGGAGAAGCCTCACTGATTTTGTCCTTTGTAGACAACATTTCCCACAGTGGCCTTGGGCTTGGGGAAGAAGCTGGAATCTGGCCACTGATTAATAGCACTCATCAAGTTAAGAAAGTTTCTTCACATTCTTAGTTTTTTAAAAGTATTTTTAAACTTAGGAATTATTGTGTGAATGATAATAATTAGTTTCCTAGAGTTTAATTATCCCTATCCAGGGATAAACCCTATATGATCTCAGTCCAAAGATTCAACTTGACAGACTGCTGTCTGTGTTGTTGCCCTTCATACCCAAGTTCACGCTACTGTTGAACCCACTAGGTGTCACCCACTAGGGTGTCACCCAAATGCATTTCATTCTTTCAACAACCCCTGGGCATAGGGAAGATTATCATCCCCATTTTATAGATGGAGAAATGGAGGTCCCAAGAAGTCTGATGATATGTCCATGATAGAAGGTGGATGGGTGGGTATTGCAACTGTGTTGCTGGTCTCCGTCAAGTGCTCTTGTCTGTTTCCCATGTCCCTGTTCCTCACCCCTATTCGGCTGCCCTCACCCCACAGTGTGCGGACATAAAGGCGACCAAGCAGAAATGCATGCAGACCCTGAGGCACAGCAAGGAGCAGCTGAACAGGCTCAACCAGGCCATCCAGTGGGTGACTGTGGAGGTGGACAGAGCCATGAGTCAGGTGAGGGGTGGGAGTGGGGGGCGGCAGAGAGGTGAATGGTGGGAGGGTGTCCATTATTTACAACCACCAGACTGGTCGACCCCAGTCTTTGGAATAAATGTATAGAGTCTTTCTTTGTGAATGTCCGAGGGACAGGAGTGCGGCTGTGTGTATATGTCATCCTTACTTTGCCAAAGACTCTCTGTATTCCATGTGCGTAAGTAATGAACATGTAGGTAAATATGTGTGAATATGTATGCTTGCTGGCTTATCACTTTTTTGTGTATGTACATTTTTATGTCTGTGTGTTTTGTTTGTCCTATGCAACGTTAAGTTTGAGCCCATCTTCAGAATTTACAAGATTTTATCTAGAAATCCTGTTTTCTGGGTTCTCTTTAAAAATGTGTAGGTCTTGCCATGTTAAACTATGCTCCCACGTGATAATATTTGGTTAGAGAAAAGAAGCCTCTTCACAGGGGGATACACTCCTTTTGTGTGCCATAGACCCCACCACTCCAAATTGCATCCTTTGACACTGAGGCAGAGAGGTCTTTGCCATTTTGCATCACCCTGGCTGGCATTACTATTATCCTTGAGGAAGAGAAAAGGCGCTAATCTGAGTATCTAAATTAGAGAAGGAAAGACAGAAAACATGAAAGGTCCTGTTGATTTCAGGAAAATGAGAGTGTGCACATTTTCTTTGTGGAACTGGATACTATTGATAAATATTTAACATTTGGCCTTTACCTATTGATGCCTCTAGCCAGGCCTCTGTAGGCATTTGCGTTTGTGACTCAGGCTTGTGACTTTAGAAAGGAGAGGTTCCCACATGAATGCTTTCTTTCTCCTAACCCTCAACCTCCTCTCCCCTCTCCCAGCTGGCTTCTGTGTCAAGCTCCTTCCCGCCCCCCACCCTTCCCCAGCTCATGCTCCACCCCAGCAGAAGAAAGAGGTTCTCCTCCTGGTCTTTTTCTTGCTTTCAGCAGGTGTAAGGGGATATGAGGCCCTGAGGTATATCTGTGGGGGTTCTTGCTTCTCCAAGAACTGATGATTTTGCACAGGGATGAGCTGGTCAGGGTCCAGAGGGGGGCAGAGTGAGTGGGTGGACCCCAGCTGCTGTGAGTCCCCCATTGTTTTCCTAAGCAGCAAGCACATGTCACCAAGGCAAGTTTTTATTATTACTGTTTCTCCCCAGAGACTACGAATTCTAATTTTCTGTGAGGAAAGAATATTCTTCCTTTAGTTTCCCTGATGAAACAATAACCCCAGGGCTAGGTGCTAAGCAGCATTGAATACTTTCCGGGCCCTAGCTCTTATTAGAAGTGTTACCATACTAGATGTAAAATCCAAAATCTTTACCCTAGAAACAGGGCAGACACACAAACACACGTCTTAGAACAGGCATGCTCACTCCACACAATGCTCTCTAATTCTTCATTGGCCCTTCAGTCTCTGAATCTTTGACAGGGGAGGCAGAGGGCCAAGGATGTCTTTCCTTCTGGGATCCTCCCTTTACCTCCAGCCCTGCGAACTACAGAAAGCTAAGGACCCCCCTGCTCTGCAGGAGGAGGATGTCTCAGCAGCACCAAGGGCAAGCTGGCTTGGCTGGAGGCCACCCTGCAGCAGGTTAAGCAGGACATGGCGCGGCAGCTAAGTGAGTACCAGAAGCTCATGATCATCAAGCTGGGCCTGGACTTTGAGATCACCACCTACTGCAAGCTGCTGGAGGTCAAAGAGAGCAGGTGAGGGCTTGGTGGTGCTTCAGATGTGGCCATGGTCTGGAGTGCAGGGCACAGGGGGGCGACCTGGGTATCCAGGGACTTGTTCTCCTAGAGCCATTTTCCCCACCACCATCTTACAGACCTTTAGACAAAACGTATAATTCTTCATTGGCCCTTCAGTCTCTGAATCTTTGACAGGGGAGGCAGAGGGCCAAGGATGTCTTTCCTTCTGGGATCCTCCCTTTACCTCCAGCCCTGCGAACTACAGAAAGCTAAGGACCCCCCTGCTCTGCAGGAGGAGGATGTCTCAGGCAGCACCAAGGGCAAGCTGGCTTGGCTGGAGGCCACCCTGCAGCAGGTTAAGCAGGACATGGCGCGGCAGCTAAGTGAGTACCAGAAGCTCATGATCATCAAGCTGGGCCTGGACTTTGAGATCACCACCTACTGCAAGCTGCTGGAGGTCAAAGAGAGCAGGTGAGGGCTTGGTGGTGCTTCAGATGTGGCCATGGTCTGGAGTGCAGGGCACAGGGGGGCGACCTGGGTATCCAGGGACTTGTTCTCCTAGAGCCATTTTCCCCACCACCATCTTACAGACCTTTAGACAAAACGTCCAGCTAATATGCACACTCAGTGCCTGAGATGGGGCAACTCAGAAAGTCACTCACTGACAGGATCAGAGAGCAGGGGCATTTTGTCCATGGAGACAGCTGCAGAGACCAAGGCCCAGCCAGGGGGATAAGGTTGCCACTGTGGAGTGCTTTCCTCTTAACTCCGACCCTGCTGAGGCAGAGGCTGGGGAAGGCAGGTTTATGGGAACAAGTAGAGCCTTGCTTTTAACCTTAGACAGGGGAACCCACATACAACAGGAACAGGAATGCTGCACTTATTACCTCCTTTAAACCCCTCAAAAACCCCATTATCCCCATTTTACAGAGGAAAAGGAATCTCAGAGAGGGTAAAGAACATCTCAAGGACACAGGTGAAGTGTTGGGTGAGGCTCAAACAATATTATTCAGACAATTGAGCTCTCTCCTATCTCTCCTTTCAAGATAAGTTTAGGTCAAAGAAAGTGTAGATCTTTTGCCTTCTCCTTCCTCTAAGAAGTCATCACTAAAAAGTGAGTTACTCAAACTTAAGTCAGGAAAGATTGAGTTTAAGGTCCAGAGGAGTCTGATGCAAAAGAGCTTTGGGGGTCTGAGAGAACCAAGGGGCTTGCAGGACGGAAAGATTTCTGTCTGTCTGGAGAAGGCCAGAAGCATTTTGTCTTGCAGAATGGAGAATATCACACCAGGAGGATAGATTCACTCACCTGCTTCCTCCGTCTCCCTCTAGGCGGGTTGCAGGCCTGGTCTGGGATTTGGAGCAGGGAGAGGCAGTAAGTAAATAACAGAGGTAACTTGGGTTAGAGGGGTCAGATCTTCTCTCTCCCCTCCTCCTTTGTGTGTATCCTCTTGGGAAGGGAGAAAGGGTCTGCTTCCTTTCTGTGTCTCCCTTTTTAGGGGGCTTTTTCCTCTCTTGTGGGTGATTCTTTGTGTTTGTCCGTGTTGTGGGGGAGTCCCATGGTCTGTTTTTTGAGGGGAGGTTCTGTTGGTGTGTCCTGGGGTGTGGGAGGAGCTTCTGTGGGTTTGTCCTTGTGCAGGAGACTGTTTATTTTTCAGGTGGGGAGAATCTGCGTGTCTGACTTGGAGGAAGGGGTCTGCTGCTAGTCTGCGGAGTTTGCACGTCAGTTTTCTAATGGGCGGGGAGGGTCTGTGAGTCTGCCCCTTGGAGCAGGAGTCTGTATGTCTGTTTTCTGGGACGCAGGAGGAGCGGGGTGTCTCCTTCCAACAGCAGCCCTCCGCTCAGTCCTGGGTAGCCCTCCCACCTGCGAGCCCAGCTCAACCTCCAGGCCTGCCCGCCTGGGGCCGTCTGGAGCGGGCTCCTGAGCCCTGGAGACGAGCGCCCCTGGCGGCCGCTGCGCGCTCTGCGGCTCTGCCGGCTTTGCCGGGTCGTCATCAGCAGCCGTTCCCGCGGATGTTGGAGCCTTCCTGTCCCGCTCTGGATAAGTCAAAGAACCCTAGCTTCTGCCGCAGAGACTTGGCCCTGCGTCTCAGACGCCCGCCCTCTCCCATGAACTGGCCCTCACCTCATCTCTGCCTCTTACCGCCCACCCCAGAACGTAGTCTTGGAATAGTTTACTGGACCGTGACAGACCCCTTCCCAGTGCGGAGACGGCTTGGGTGCTGTGCCACTGGGGAGGAATTGTGGACTACCTGGATCCAGCACCCTGCCCTTCCGAACCGTCCCCTTCCTGCTCTTCCTGGGACTCATCCTTTTGCAATACGAAGTTCTGCAGCAGACCGAGCTGGCAGGCTGTTTGCCGCCTGGATTCCATTCCTCTAGCTATGCCCTGAGCAGTCACAAAGCTGATGAATTTGGGGGTGGGGGAGGGAGGGAGAGACACTGCCAGGAAGCAGCCCTCCCCTGGTGGTGTGTGGGTCCACATGGCTTCAACTCGTGGTGGTATAGAACCAGGATCTAAGGGTCAGGGTGGTGGTATCCGCGGACCCTTGGTGAAAGGGAAAGAAGGGGTTAATTCATGCAGCCAGTCTGCTTACCCCCCAGCCTGGGGTGCTGAGTGTTCCCTGAGGGTCAGGGAGAGTGCTTGGTGAGCAAGATGCTCTCCTCCTGGCCCAATGGAGATGATGTTCTGGGAGGGAAGCAGGCTATAAACAAGGAAACAGACCAGAAAGAAAACAGGACAAGATGGGGATGAGGGTTAGCCACCCTCTGTTACCCTGGCAGGAGCACTCAAGTGCAGGCCCTGGGGGTGATGGCCCTCACAGACTGGGGCTGGGTATGAACACAATCAGGTGGCCTAGGCCTGGATTCTAGCTTAACAAATGATCTGTTGGTGGGTTGGGAACAACGTACCGTGGTGGGTGAGTTCATGTGTTTGGAATCAGACCCAGGTTCTAACTCTATGCCTACTTCCAGCACTGCGGTGTAGTTTGGTCTGAGGTTCCAAAGGCAACTGACTTAGGGGTGCAGAAGATAGGCCAGTTTGGGGGGTGGGGTGGCCAGAGAACGGCTGGGTTTCTGGGTGCTTTCCTTGCCATAGTGGCCTCAGAGGAGCTACGATTCAGTGAACTCACATTCTTTTCCATTGCACAAAGGATTACCTCATCAAGGCACTGGGGAACAATGGTTCCTGCTATGTCCCTGGGTGGGGCCAAGGTGCGTCACTGGCCAGAGGCCCTGGTTTTACCTTTTAAGGTATGCTAGTGCCAGGGTGTCTGCTTGATTCTCTGGGTTGCTGCCTGGAGAACAGACATCCAAAGGGCTCCTCCGTGGGTAAACAGAGCAGCCTCAGGCAAGAGGAATGGGACCCAAACTTGTCTGGCAGGTTGCCACCCACCTGAGAGGTAGGGGACATGCCCCACTGGGCTCGTGCATCAGCCCCATTTAATCAATACTGACAGACACCAACCATATAAATATTTTTACTAACACTCCCAATGCAAAGCAGCTGTCTGAAAGCAGAGTTGTGTCTCCATTTTGCTAGGAGGACATTCTCTGATGTTCAAGGTCAGGTTTTTCCAGCTGCTGGTGTGCCCATCATGTGGAGGAAGGAGCTCTGTGGGAAGTGCAGAAGGACCTGCCACCTAGGGGTTGTCAGCAGGTTGTCTGCACTTGCATCACTGAGGACTGATGGCCCACATTTCCCTTTTCCAAATAAGCCTGATGTCAGTGCGGGAGATTCCAAAGAAACCTCTGGTGTCAGGTTTGAGTCTCTTGCTGGGCCACATGGGCCACAAGCAATGTTTGTGCTTGGGGACTGATTCTCTGAGTGGCTCCCTGGCCATGGGCCACATTCCAGCTTGGGGTGGGGGATAACTGCTTGGCACACTTGTGAAGAGTCATTCACTAGCCCATTTACAAGCTTTCTGTGTTGGGGTGACTTCTGAGGGGAAAAGGGTCATCACCAGTTCAGTTGTTGCTTCTCAGCAGAAGGGGACCCCAAAGGATCAGCCCTCCATTGGCTCCTCATGCCTGCCTCACATTTAATAGCACTTAAACATGATGAATGTAGCTTAGCTGTGTTTGTGTGTGTATTTGGGCCCTTCAAGGGCAGTGACTGTCTCCTCCATCCGTTGCGAGGGCCTGCCACGTAGTGAATGCAAACGGGTCTAGGTTTTGTGGTCCTATTTGGTCTGCTCTGTCCTTGGATGAATTGGGCCCTGTTCTTCCACCATTGATATGTCTTACCCCGTGGAAACCTCTTGGGGGTCTCTTGATGATCTACTAAATGCCATCCTTCCTGATGGGGCTCCAGCTGCACTCTAGCAATCAGACCAGTGTGGAGGAAGGCAAGAAGGGCTGAGTTTCTGTTCCCAGTCTTCTGCCACCTTGACCAAAGTCACCTGTTTCTGGGCCTCAGTTCTGCCCTTTCCAGATCTAACTGGTGAGGATTCATTTATCCCTTTTATTTTTCCTCCCTACTTAACCTTTCTTCACCACAGTTTATCTGTAAAATAAGAATCCTAACTATCATAGTGTTGTTTGGGAATTAATTGTTACTATATGTAAAGTGCTTAAAGCATAGAGAGAATGATAGAAATGTAATTAGTATTTCACTTAACAGAGTTCTTGTTTTTGAGCACCCTTAAAGGAGTTACTACGAAGTTGAAGACCAATGAACTCCATCTGCCCCAGTTGGTGCTAAAGTGACTGGAGGGCAGAAGGGCAGGGAGGTGAGCCCAAGGGGTAGGGCCAAGACCCCCTAGCCAGAGGGCATCTCTCCTGTGACCCCCAGCAGTGCCTGCCCATTATCATCCCACCTCAGCCCTGTTCTCTGTGACTCCACCTCACCAGCATGAACCCACTGGTGTCCCCACACAGGTTCTCCCCTAGCACATGTACACAGGCGGGCACACACACACACACACACACACACACAATCACTCACACACATATAAATATATTTATACACAGATGCCTGGAGATGTGCACATACCCAGATGCTGTATTGTTCTGCTCATAGACAGCTGTCTAGAGACAGCTCTGTGGAATGATACAGACAGGATGCATACAGCACAGTTGCATGGCTTCTGACTCCCTGCTTTCCTATAGTGCTTAGTCCTTTCCTTCTGGCTCCTAGTCCTTTCCCAACTCTCCTAAAGAATAATAGAGCTTTAAACTGGTAAGGGACCTTAGCAACTATATAGTTAAAACACTCTATTTCACTAGTGAATTCACAGAGGCCCAGAGAGGGGAGGCAACTTGCTAAAAGTCACACAGCCAGGTGTTCCATTTTCTTCACCATTCTGCATCATTAATATTTTGTGTTTGATTGATTCACCCTGTTCTCCTGCCTGCGCCTGCCCAGAGGTGGCAAGGTAGAGCTGGAGTGGGAGATAGAAGGGTCAGAGCTGGAAGGCGAATGAGAGAGGTAAGTGGGGCAGGTCATCAAGGCTCAGCCAGGCTGGTGAGACCAGTGAGATGGGAAGGGAGGGGTTAGTTGACAGAGAAGAGAAGTCCTTCAGGACTGGAATTGCAGGTGACTTCTGAACTGAGGAGGGCTGGAGGGATGGGACTGGTGCTTGGGCCTCAGGTCTGGACTCCTGACAGGAACTGCTTCTGAGCTGTGTGGTGTCACAGCAGAGGGACTTTCCCAGGGCTTTGTCCTGTTCAGAATTCCATCAGGAGGGTGGCAGGGCCATGTTAGTTCAAAGGAGATTGATTCTATCCATTGAAAGAGCCTTTGTCTTTTCAGGACATTGGTTCTGGCTCTCAATTTTCTTAATTATTTCTATTGCCCTGGGGAATGGAGGATGGACTTATATTTCTGCTATGGTTTTCTGGGCCTGGGACTGGAAGTTTAAGATTCACCCTTCTGTACAGACCTGTCTTCAGGGACTTGCCTTGGCCCATAGTGAGGCTGAGGGGCTAACTCCCTACTCCCTCTGGTGCTTGTGAGATTCTTATCAGTATCAAGTGGGGACAGTCACCTGCTTGAAGGCCCTGGAAGACATAATGATTTCTGTCTTGAAATTTCTGATCACAGATATAAATGTAATAAGATGTAAGTGTGATCAGTTTATAGATATGCACAAGAGGCTGGCCATGGCTCTGAGCACTGGGATTTCTACTTTGTATTCTGTGAAAGAGTGCTGGTAACAATGAATGTGTAGTGTGATTATTTTGTGGCAGGCATTGTCTAAATACTTTACATATATGAAATTCCTTAATCCTCTCATCAACCATATGAGGTAGGTGCTCTTTTGATCATTCTTGCTTTAGGGATGTGGAAACTGAGGCACAGAGAGGTTCAGTAAATTGTGTAAGGTCGGTCAGCTAGTAAGAAACAGAGCCCATCTGGACCCAGGTGATCTGGTTTCAGATTCTGTGGGCTCACCTCTGTGCACCATCATCATATGGTTATGTGCTGTTTTCTGTCTTTGAGGTAATTTATCAGCTATGGCAGGTCTCCAACCCCAAAAGGATGCCATTAAAAAAAAAGTAACCATATCAAAGGCTTTTTGAAGGTTTAAGTCATGTTTATGTGTTTACCCCTTAAAGAATTTTAATAAATTACTCAAGCATGAGTCTTCCTCATCAAAGCAATGAGTGATGTTTCCATAAGTGTTGAGTCACTGGTAAATCTAATTTTCATTATCCGTCATTTTACAGATACGCACAGGGTTGTTTTCTGGGAGGCAACTGTGGTTTAATGAAATGAGCACTGGAGATACACACAGTGTTCAAAGTCAGCTGTACCAGTGAACACAGCGTCGGGCCCTGCCCCAGTCCCTGAGCACCTCTGAGCTCTGGTTTCTTCATCTGCAAGATGTATCATGAAGGTGGTATGGCATATGGATAAGATCGTTAAGGTTGTGTGGATAAAATTACCTCATGAAGAGGCTGGCACAACCCTTAGCTAACTCTGAGACTGTTGTGAGCCCAGAGAGAGAGGACGGTACTGAAGATCCCGAGCGAGGGCTCTTTTTGGGCTCCTTTTTCTCCATGTGACTTTGGAGACCTTCCTAACCCAGACCCTTGAGGATAACAGAGGTACAGACAAGGCCCAGGTCAACTACACTGATTTATTGGAAACACAGAAGAAGACGGAGATGAACACTGCAGAGGAGGAAGGGGAGAGGCTTGGGGGGCCTATGGTGATTGGTCCTGGTCCTCCCTGCCCCTGGACTCCCTTCCTGTGGATGTCAAAGGGACATCTTTCTAGGGTAGCCTTTCTCAGCGCCCAGGAAGAGGGAATCACAGACATGAGAGGCCAGGAGGGAAGAGACCTTTCAAAGTGCCAGAGAAGTAGCAGAGTGCTTGCTCCACCCTGTGGGGTGAGTGGGTGCTGGGAGGGGCTGGACCAGGCCAGGCGGGGCCATCTGGGGCTGCACAGGAGAGATGTCAGGCTTGAGTTGGGGTGCCTAAAATTTGCGGCAGCTGCTGGCACAGGAGCCCACACCGTAGGAACTGATGCCACAGGAGCCGAGGCCACAAGATGTGATGGAATTACAGGGGCCACAGGGTGCGCAGATTCCGGTGCTCACTGCCAGGTTCCCGCTGCACGGGGCGCTGCAGGCACTGCCCGTCACTGGCCGGGCGCCGGACACAGTCAGGTCCCCGCAAACGACCCCGCCCCGGGAGCTGCTGACACCTGTGAACCCCAAAGGTTTAGTCAAAATTCTGGGGGACAAACCATCCCATCTCCTCAATGATGCCTATCCCCAAGCCCGGAGCACTAGATGATTGGAATTCAGAGCATCTTTACTTGAAAACCCTACATCCATCTGGCCCAGAGCTGTTGTCTTTCTCAAACCCCTCCTGGCTGTGATGCCAGCTGGCTCTTTAGGTTTCTGTGGTTTCATACCACAGAAAGGGAGTAAATCCATCCACCCAGGGCCTATGTTACTCACAGACATTCACGGCCCCAACGCCTTCACACAGTCTGAGAGGGAAGAAGAAAAAGGCAACATTATTGAGTTGGCTGGAGTTGCAGACAGAGCTCCCCATTCTTGGGGTGCGTCCGGAGGTGGTCAAAAGAGCAGGAGCAGAGGGTCCCTGGGAATAGCCCTCCCAAACTGCCCCCTACCCCAAGATAATAAATGATAGGTTCTCCTACACCCCAGGCCATTTCTCAGCCAAGAGAAAGGGTGGCATTTCTTGAAGAGGCAGGTCAGAGTAAGGTTTGGGCCCCACCTCTGCTCCTCGCCCTCCAGCAGGCGCCTGTAGGTGGCGATCTCGATGTCCAGGCCCAGCTTGGAGTTCATCACCTCCTGGTACTCCTTGAGCAGGCAGGCCATGTCCTGCTTGGCCTTCCCCAGGGCGGCCTCCAGCTCAGCCAGCTTGCAGCGGGCGTCGTTGAGGGCAGCCTCACCCTGCTGTTCGGCCTGGGTCACTGCAGCCTCCAGCTTGGAGTTCTGGGGGTCCAGGAGAGAACAAGGTGGGTTATGGTCCCTGGGTCCCCCTGGCCATCTCCTGGTTGTGTCTGGTCTCTCCCAGCCAGTGGGGAACACCCAGGACAGGGCCCTTGCCTTCATCACCTGGGTCCCCTAAGTGGCCACAACCAGGGACTCTAGTCATGCAAACAGGCTGGGGAAGAATGGTGAGATCCATCCTGGGCACACACTGCCTGTGGGATTCTAGGGAGACCCCACGACCCATACCTGGCACTTGGCATTCTCGACCTCCGCGGTCAGCCTCTGGATCATGCGGTTCAGCTCATTGATCTCCTCCTTGGTGCGGCGCAGGGTCTCCCCATGCCGGATCACTGTGGCCTTGATCTCTTCGCACTGAGGGGAAGCAGAGATGCTCCTGAGGCTCAGGATGGGAACCCTACCGGTTCAGGTCACCATGGATGATATTGCAGGTTGTGCAGTGCTCAGCCTGTGCAACCATATAGGGAAGCCGTGCCCTGCCACCCCAACAACGCACTGAGAGCTTTTTGCCCCTCTTCTATCATCTCTAGGGAAGGACAGCCCACAGTTCTTTAGGGATCAGAATTACCAACAAAGAAGTTGTTTCTAATATATTCATCACATCCCTCCCACTGCCACGTCTTGAAGGCAGGTGTCCTGGGCCTCTCACCTTGGTGCGGTACCAGGACTCAGCCTCGGCCCGGCTGCGGCTGGCAATGTCGTCGTACTGAGCCTTGATCTCAGCCACAATGCAGTCCATGTTCAGGTCCCGGCTGTTGTCCATCTTGACGATGACTGAGGTGTCTGAGATGTGGGACTGGAGGACGCGGATCTCCTGTAGTGGTGGGAGGGGACAGAGCTTCTTTGGCCAGAGCCCCACTCTTGGCAGCCCGCCGTCTCACAGACCTTCCCTGTCCCCTTTCCCTGCTTCCTCCATAGCCTCGCTGTCTAAGCCCCAGTCTCACCGGGGAAGTCTCCCCCTCAGCCCCGGGGCCTCCCAATGCTCTCCAGGTCCAGAGACCAGAGGCTGACAGGGGCCAAGTCTGAGGCCCACTGCCTGATTTAGGTGAGGGCCTCCTGTCTCCATCCTTTGGGTCTAGGGTCAGCATTTACCAGTTTGTGATGACTGTCACCACAGCAACCAGGAACACCAGCTTGTGGGGGGCATGGCAGATGAGACCAAAGCCACCCTTCTTCACCTTCTGACAGCAAACCTGTCCCAGGTCAGTCCATCTGCTCTGTACTCCCCCTCTCCCTCCAACCCAGGGGCTCAGAAGCCAAATAAATGGTGGCAAGTCCTTCCCAGTGTCTAACTCACATCTGTCTTGCTGCCCCCCTGCTCTATGGCCCCTCACCTCCTCATACAGCCGCCGCAGGAAGTCGATCTCCTGGATCAGGGCCTCTGCGTTGGCCTCCAGGTCCGACTTGCGCAGGTAGGCACAGTCCACATCCTAAAGGGAGAGGGTGGTACAGGAGTCACACAGGTGAGACAGCACAGAGCTCTCCCCAGCAGGGGGCACCCCATCAGGCTGGGTGGAGACCCTCCTGAGCTCCCCGTGCAGAGCCTGCTGAAGTCCTCTGTGCAGTCGGAGGGGTCAGGAGCAGGTTCGGGTAAGGGTGGGGACCCCAAGGTTTCCAGGCACATCGTCTGGTGTCACCGGGATGGTCCCTCTAGAATGCACACGTGCCACTCTCACTGAAACTAGGATCTAGTGTAAAATGGGTCACCTCTAATGTGGCCCTGCCTCCCTGGGCTTTGAAATCTCAGGGAATACACTGTAGTCTGTGGTCAGAAGGGAGGTCTTTGGCCAGAAGAGATCAACTCTGTTCCAAGCCAGGGTGGCTCAGGCTGACACCTGTGACCGCCGTGCCTCAGTGTCCTCAAAGTGACACTGCCGTCCTCATGGGGAATGGCTAGAAGGACCTGCCCAGAGTCCACATGTGGCACCTGTGCCGAGTTGAGTCCAAGAGGTGAGGAACAGGGGACTATTCCTGCCAACATGTGCCAACTGTTATGGCCTGAGTGTGCTGCCCTCCCTGGGCATCCATGTGCTCTTTCACTCACAAACATTTCCTGAGTGCCCGCTCTCTGCCAGGCTCAGGGCGTGAGGAGGTGGGAACCATGGGCTGGACGGCAGCCACCTGGGCTGGGGGGAGGCCTGCGCTGCTTGAAGCAGGCTTGTTCTCCACTTCCCAGGGCCACCAGGAGCACGGGGGCATCTGGGGCAAGGAGTGCGGGGGACGCTGGGCTCTGTGATTGTGGGGAGTCACCCAGCCTCTCTGACTGCAGAGCTGCCTCCTGCCTATGCCCTCGTTTCTGAATTATGGGTGGAGTATTCTGGGGTCACTCACCTTCTTCAGGGCCACAAATTCATTCTCAGCGGTGGCCCTTAGTGCCACCTCCTCTTCATACCTGGGGACAAAGGGCACGAAGTTCACTGACTAGCACTTCAATAGGCTGGGATTTGAAGGAAAAGAAAGACAAAGAAGGCCAGACACACACAAGCCAGGAACTGGGTTTTCTGGAGGTGGTCAGAGAATCAGGCTCTGGGACTAGAAGGGTCCCTGTGTCTCCTTTCCCTCTGTGCACTCAGACCAGCCCTGTCACCACCCAGTGCTCTTCCTGGCTCAGGGACTGTCACCTGACCGGGCCCAGGGTGGGTGCGTCGCACACCTTGGAAGCCTCCTCTCTGCTTCTGGATGCAGCCCCTGGGGGGCAGGAACTCACCCTAGATCTGTGCCCCCTTCATCCTTCATGCTTACTTGCTCATTCCTGCCCCTTTCTCAGGTCCTAAAAAGCACCTGGACATAGAGTGGATGCTCAAAAATGTTTGCTGAATTAATGAAATAAACACATAGTGATGAGGTAGCTGGAGCAGCTCAGATTGACTCCAGTGTTTAAACTCTCATCCCAGAAAAGAACATGGTCCCCACAGGCTTTCCATCCCTGACTTCTTCCTCTTGGGAAGTTCCTCTTGTGGTCTAGCCCAAATGCATCCTGCCTGGATTTAACCCCATTTCCTTTGCCCAAACCCTCCTCCTGAGGCGCTCACTTCTTCTTGTAGCCCTCCAGCACCTCCTGCACATGGTTGAGCTCAGAGGCCAGCCTCCCGCTGTCGGCCTCCGCACACTCG